CTCAGTCCCACAAGTGACACCTGGACACCAGTAAGTGTTATGGACATTATCCATGTCCACGACACACTAGAACTTCGTGCGATATCCTATCCCCAACCTGTTGGAAGTGCTGGCCATTTATTTGTCATTCCAGTATTTATCTTATGTTTTATTCTTAGTAATTCTTTACTATCATGAAAACTTTTTCTTAGTTCAGTTGTTTTGAAACATTTAATTTTTAATTAATTAGTATTTAATTTTCTGAATATTGCTTAATCTTAATTTTTGTTTTAAGATTTATACTGTATATTTGACTTGCAATCTATAAAAACACGGTATGAAAAAAATAAATTCCATTCATTCCCCCCAAAAATAACAAAAACCAAAGAAACCTCTACTCTGTGTTTCAGAAGGAATATTTTTTAAGACACTGAGATAATAAAGGAAAATAATGTGCCCAGAAAGTATTGATCAGAAAGTTAATTTCCAAGGCTATTAAAGAACACAAGAGTGATTGTAGCATTAATAAGTCTGATTTTTTTCCTTTTAAAATATTCTTGATTAGATAATTCACCTGTAAGGACTCAGAATCAAAGTTCTACAGAGGGTAAAGCACAATGGTAGAGTGCCTTCTCCATGCACAAGGTTCTGGGATGATGCCCAGAGCCAAAAAGAACAAGCAAAAATTTCCATTGATTTTGACATAGACTGAAGTGACTTGCTTCTATCCTTTACCTATCTACCATACCTCTTCCACCTTTTTTTTTTTTTAGCAGTGTTTCTTTATGCAAATAGAACTATAAATTCTCACTTTTGCCTTTTAATAGCCCCTTGGTTATCTTTTCCTCTTAGCACTATATTCTGGAGATCTTCATAAGTCAGAGAGGACTTACTTATCCCTTTTAATGTCTGCATGTATTACCTGATGTGGCTGTACTATACAGTCAGTGTGTCACAGGGAGGGACTCGGGGGATGCTTCCACTGTGTTATAATAAATAATCTTCAACATGCTTGATTTCCCAAGCTAACAGGTACTACGTATCTGTAGGATAAGGTACTCTTAGCAGCAACATGGGCATTCCTGCTTATGCACAAGGTCACCCACAGAATATGTTGACAGTTGCTGGGATACTTGCCAACCTGATAGGTGAGAATGTTATCTTACTGTGGTTTTAATTTGCATTTTTTATTATGAGTGAGTCTGACATACATTCATGAGTCATTTGTATTTCTGTTTCTGTTAGGTATCTTTTGCCTTTTTTCCCCCATTAAATCGATCTTTTTCTTTCCAATTTCTAAACCTTTTTAAATGGAAATCTACATTTTTTCTGCAATGTGAGTTATAAATATTTCCCACCAGTATTTCTTATGGTTTTATTGATGGTATTTGATTGCCATATATAAGAATTTAGGTAATCTAGAAAACATATCAATTTTATGGTTTTTAAATTTCTATTATTATTATTATTTTTAATTTTTTGTGGTATTGGGGATTAAACTGAGGACCCTGCACTTGCCAGAATTTTATGGTTCTATATTTTGATTCATAGTTTAAAACTTTATGCTGAGTTTTTTGTCCTTTAGGATTCACTTTAAAGGGGCTGGGGAGATGGCTCAGGCTGGTCCTACCCTTTTATAAAGCTTAAAAAAAAAAAAAAAAAAAAAAAGATTCACTTTAAAATCTTGGGCTGAAGATATAGCTCAGTGGCATAGAACTTGCCTGGCAAGTGCAAGGTCCTGAGTTTGAATCCTAGCACTAAACAAAACAAAACAAAAAAAAATTAAAATCATACTGTGAGCTCCCATCTTTGAGGTTTCTGATGCAAGAAATTGGGGGAAGAGGATGTTGCTGAATATCTCTGGTTCTTTACTAAGAAATCCTTTTTAAGAAGTCGAAAGTTACATACTCAAAGTAAATTCAAATTGTAAAAACTAACTCCCTCACCAAACTCTAAATTTGGCTTTAATAAAGAGGAGTTTCAAACTCTGACACAAGAAAGGAAGCAGATCAGTGGCTTCTGAGATGGTGATGGCCCTCACCTTGGTTGGCAAAGCTCAGAGGACGGCTCTCCTCCATCAAATTGGAAGGAAAACAAATATCCACAGAATGGAGGAGGAAAAAGCAGAAGCATTAAAAAATGTATACATCTGATGCCAGGGGTGGTGGCCCAGGGATGGTAACCCCAGCTCTCAGAAGGCTGAAGCAGGAGGATCTCCGTGAGTCCAAGGCCAGTCTGGGCTACGTAGTTCAATACCAGGCTGAACTATACAGCGAGACCATGTCTCAAAAAGACAAAAAGTAAGATGTACAGATGAACAACCATTCAGAAAGTAGGACCCCCAGCATGGAATAGCTGAGCAAGGGTGGATCAGAGTCTCTGCCAAGCCTAGTATTGTTGGAACCTGGGTGGGGCTGGGGATAAGAGTGTGCCTAACTGGAGGTGTGGCTGCGGGAATGGGGAATAAATACCCATTGGCTTCTCACCCTTGTTCAGCCCCTGCTTTCTATTAGCCAAACCCAATCAAAAGCCAGAAGGCAGGGAAGTTTGATGGAAGCTAAGGTTAGTGTGGCTAAGCCTTCTGGGACATAAATCAGGGCAGAGTTCTCACTGGCCTCACTCCTAAATAGACCAGGTAATAAATTTTAGTGAAAAGTTCTTTGGCATCTACTGAGATTGATAAACTATATATGATAGTAATGCATTTCCTGACATTGTCTGGATTAATCTTAGTAGTTCATGGTGTAATTTTATTTTGATATGTAGTTAAACTATCTTCTTCTTCTTCTTCTTCTTCTTCTCCTCCTCCTCCTCCTCCTCCTCCTC